CACTGCAGAAGTCACAGTCTACGGATGCATATCCTGGTAATAAATCACATAATCATTCTTTGCCATCTGTGTATACTTTAATTCCTATGTACAGTGGTGCCTCGCTTTACAATTGCTCCGCATTACGACAAATCCGTTTTATGATGATCTTTTTGCGATCACAAAACGATGGTCTAAATGGGGAAATTTCGCTTTGCGATGATCAGTTCCCTGCTTCGGGAACCGATTCTTCGCAAAACGATGTTTTTCTAACAGCTGATCGGCGGTTTCAAAATGGCTGCTGGGTAATTAAAATGGCTCCCTGCTGTGTTTAGGGACGAATTCCTCACTATACAGGCAGCGAAAATGGCCACCGTATGGAGGATCTTCGCTGGACGGTGAGTTTTTACCCCATTGGAATGCATTGAACGGGTTTCAATGCGTTTCAATGGGGTTTTTTTTCACTTTACGATGTTTTTGCTTAACGGCGATTTTCCTGGAATGGATTATCATCGTTAAGCAAGGCTCCACTGTATTTCCCCATATAATGATGAACAAACCGTTCCTAGGAAGAAAGGCTTGTGTAAAACCATTTATGTGCAAAACATGTTGGAAAATAAAGCATGTTGCCTCTCCCACCCTTGTTGAACATATAGATCCTCCTGTATTCTCCCTATGATGCTGGTAATATACCAGAGCATGAAGGTTTTTATATTCTACTGCTATTTCTTTCCCTTTAAGTCCACGAGAAAGCAGCAGAGGCAGCAAGAGGGATATTTGAGACAAGAAGGCCTTAGGACAACACCTCCATTAGACCTATTCGCTGGAGTGATATCTCCCATGCAAAGAACCATGGGAAGACTGGGAAGTATATCTTCTTGAGCAACTCAAGAACTACAAGAACCACACATGCTTTAATTCCGCATGCTTGGGATGCAAGCTTTCAAGAACCATGTCCTATGAGGAGTATCATGTCCCATGCTGTTGCTGCAACTTCAAGAGCCAAATGAAGGTGGCATCAAGAGATCTCTCTGTGGCTTTCATAAATGGGCACAGCAATGAGGAAACCCAAGTTAGATGCTTGTCTAACTCAAGCATAAATATTCAAAGTTTCCAATTCTTTCTGGTTTGTGCAAGGCTTATTAATGTGTTAGGTACAGGGTGAGGAATTCTGAAGTTTGACTTTCTTGTTATAAATTTTGTGCCATACTACCACTTAACAAGCTGGCTGGATAGCTCAGTGATTTAGGTATTTAGCTGTGGACCCAGAGGTTGGGAGTTTGATTCCCCTCTGTGCCTCCTGCGAGTCGAGCCAGCCAGTGTGGCCTTGGGCAAGCTGCCCAGTCCTAGGAAGCCCCCAGAAGAAGTACCCTCTACCTGAAAAACCCTGAACGGGGTCACCATAAGTCAGGATTGACTTGACAGCACATTATTATTACCAGTTAACAGCTGTTAATATTAATGTTGGAATTCTATAGTGGGTATTAAAAGGTCATAAATACACGTCACATCATTGTTTTACCGAACTCAATTTTTTGGTTTGGATGATCCCAATTTTATTCCAGAATGGGAAAAATTGATAGGTGGTGCACTCTAGTGGTTGCAAGGAGAAGTATGAAATCTTAAAGGGAGTTTGTCTCTGAAAACATAATTAAAGAAGTACAGATTCAAGGGGGAAAGCTAAAATTCTTATGAAGACAAGTGTAAGTTTTAATCAGCCCACATGTTTAGCAGAAAGAAAACTATTTTAGGAGCTGATCATTTTCATAGTAATGATGGTACCGAATAGGTCTGGGAGAATGAGAGCGGTCAAGCTGCTAAGACAAAATTTTCAATTGGCCCCTTTCTCTTACTGAAAGATGGGGAGTGACCAAGGTTTGCGAATTACAAATGCATCCTCTGAATCACAACAGAGTACAACAACACTGATCTTAAATCAGACAAGAATCCATATATCCCAGTTTGCTATTTTTAGCACCTGCCAGTAGATGATTTTGGGAAACCTAGAACTTTGCCAGGAAGGCAACAGTTCTTCCCTCCAACATCTGAGTCCCACGGATACACTGCCCCGGAATATGACATTTCTGTTTATCAGTCACATGTAATAGTTATCTGTTGATAGATCTGTTAATCTACTACTCACAGTTAATATCTTCGAGATGATGAAAAATTAAATGCTATGCTCTCAAAAATAGGAACTTGGTGGTGACCAAAGGAAAGCTGGAGAAGGCCTAAAAGGAATGCTAAAGAAGAAAGCAGATCTAAGGAAGAACGTACAATTGCTCCCCGTGGGATCAAGCATGCAGACAGAGGCTGACTGTAGGAGAAAACAGTGACTCAGAGAGGCTGTTAGTGGTGGCAGATGCTATTCATCACCCCACACCATTCACCCACCAAAATCCCTTTTCATTCCTTGTCTCCAACTCTACACATGAATGCTTCTCCTTCTAACCCATGATATTTAAATGGACCCTCCATCTTGAGAGTCAATAAATCTTCAAAACACCAAAGAGCTGGGAGCAAACAGCAGAGGAATAGTGTTGTAACGCTGTGTGCAAGCCTCCCAGAGGCACTGGAAAGTGGCCACTGCTGGGCACCATGTAAAACTAGATGAAGAGGAATGCACTTGGGTGCCAGCTAGCTGTCAAGCCAGGTTCACAGTGTTCCCCCTTATTATTAATACTTTAAACAGCTCCGTACCAGGTTGTGCAAAGGGTCCAGCTTTCTTCCATAGAGATCTTAGTTTTTAAGCCACTTTACCAGTCCAGTTTCTTTGAGATTGGTATGGGTGAGGCATTCTCAACTGTGGCATCTGCCCAGTGAAATAACCTCCCTACTGAGATCAGACAGGCTCCCAGTATAGGTTGCATCCGTTCCCAGTTGAAACTTATTTGCTTGGCCAACTCTTTTTCTGTTGCTGATCTAGTCAGCTACCTGTTGTGGTTTTAGTTATTTTAATCAAATATTACTGTATCTTGTTTTGACAGTGTATTATTATTTTATTACTTGATTTTCTGTGTTTTGACATTTTTAATACTATGGTATTGTAAAGTGCTTTGAGATTTCTTAACGAAAAATGAATCTAGACATTTCTGAATAAATACTGTAAAAAGATCCATAAAGATCCATAAAGCATACCCTACAAACTAAGTTCAAAGCAGAGATGTGCTCCATACCTCGAACACTCCTCGCACTGCTAATCAGTTCAATTAATTTGTATTAAACAGTCCAGCCCTTCCCCAGTTCCTTCCCAAAAGGCCCAACAGAGATCTTTATGGGAGTGGGGAAGGTATGAGATGACATTGTGGGATATGCCACTTCCACCAACAATGAGCAATGCAGTTGTAGGACTGGTGAGCAATGAAGTAGGGCTAGAGTATGAGTTAAGGCAAGTGCATGGGGAGAGCTTTGCTCTGTAGGATCTGAGAACAAACTGCTCCAAATGCCACCCATTAATTTTAATTTCAGGCCTTCCAAACCAACTTTTCTTCAATTAATTTACCCAAAGATATTCAAATCCCTCCCCATCTATTTGCCAATTCATTTATGCTCAAATACATACAAATCCTACCAAGCCAGACAGTTTCCTACTCAGCCCTCATAATTAAGGGTCTGGTCACATGATCACATTCTGGACCTCTTGTGGAATGGTCTGGTGTGATCTATTTCCTGGCGAACGCATGGCATAAGGGGAACTGCACTCCAGCCTAACTGATCTGTGCCAAGTAGGACTTTTTTGGTCCAGCTATATGGCTACAACTGTTGGGGGCTGGGCTGGAGTGATTTTCTGGCAGGCAGAAGGGTGGTTTTAAGAAAGAACACTGCCTGTAAAGCAACCCTGCAAAGCAATTGGTTGTGCCCCTTTTCTGCTCTCTGACTACACCCTAATTTACCCCAATACTGATTGCTCATTTTGTAGACTCTTCCCAACTAAACCAGCCCAACTTTGAACAACTGCCATTGTAGCTTTTAGCTCACAGAGAAAGGATTCTCCCAAAGAAAGCAGGACAGAAAGGTGGACACTATTCCACATAGTCAACCCAGTAGCCAGCTTGTCTCTATGACAACTCTCTTTCCATCACTCCTTGCCATAGTTGAGATGCTTTCACAGGGGCAGACATGTATATGCCCTGGAGACCCTTTTTTGTATTTATGACACAGAATTCCCTCCTCAAGATGAAGGCCCAGTGCACTGTGTGAAACAGTTAATGGATCATCAGTGGTCAGGACAGTTTAATTTAAAACAGTATTATATAGTAGACCCCATTGGTCTGTCTCTTCAGAACTGTGGGAAGCACTGGGCAAAACACCACGCCAGGCCAATTTTACATTCAAGCAGTACTATTTACTCTAGGGGTGGACAGTCACAGAGGGTCACAGCTACTTTCAAACCAGAAAGAAGCCAGAAGGATATTTCCCATTTTTGGAGGGGAGGCCATTTTGAGGTATTCCAGGGTTGCACAGCCATTACATTGTGAATCATGCTTCTGGATGCAAAATGCTCCATTTTGGACCAAACATTTTTATTTTAGTGATGAGGAGTTGGGAGAAGTCTGGGGCACTGGGGAACACACAGAAGGCCCTTCCCTGACTGTGTCTGAAACATGGCCAATGCAAACTGCTATTCATAATTATATAAGGAGACTCCATAATAAAGCAGGGAAACAAATATCCTTTAGATAACTGAGGGTGCAATTAGGCAGTGGGAAAAGTACATGTCTGATTGCACTGGTTAGGGTTGCTTTGTAGGAAGAAAACTCCCTTAAAGCAACCTTTCCATCTGTCAGGGAATTGATCCAGCCCCTCCCCTGAAAGTAGATAACCCTGTTGTTGGACCAAAAAAGATCCATCTTGGGCATGGATTGGGATTGAACTACAGCACAATCCCCCTTGTGTTGTGTGATCGCCAGGAAACTAATTGCACCAGACCACCCCACAGATGGTCCAAAATGCAGTCTATTTCCCCAGGTGGTCACATTCTTACATAATAACTGTGCATTGAATTGTTAAAAGGAACATACCATCCCACCAGCTTTCACAAGAGGGGCTTCCAGGTCAGGGTAGATGTTCTCCAGATACCACCTGAAGCTCTTGCAGTGAAGCTGCTTCCTCAGTTCTTTCTGTCGAGTCAAGTTTCCAACATCTAGGTTTTTCTGGATGAGGTGGTAAGCATGTCCATAGAAGAGATCCTTGTATTCATCGAGCCAAACCTCTGCAACCCGAGCCAAGTTCCGTTCCACTGTGGCGAGGCGGTCTTTAGGGAACGAATAAGGGTTATCATTTCTGAAAATGTGGCCGACTCTCGAACAAGGGATGATTTCAATTTCCCCTCCACACATCCACACCTGATAAAAACAAGCAGGTAACAATTAGATGTCACTCTCAGTCAATGTACAGTATCACATGATTCCATTTAGAATGCTTCTGTATAGCTAATGGTCCAAGTTTGTTTTTGGGTCTTTCATTTACCAGGGTTTGGTTCTTTCGGGTTCTTTTGTTTTGGTTTCCCCCTCATTCTGCCTGTCACTCATCCAAAAGCCCTCAAGAACCCTTAAAGTACTATAAAAACAGAGAATTAATTCAACAGCCCTAAAGAATGCTTAAAAACTACAACAAAAAAGCAGGTACCATTTAAAAAAATCAGTCTAACAGGGAATACCACCACGACACACAGGGGGAAAAAAAAACACAAAATAAAAAACAGACACACCAACCCCTCTCCCCAAAACCAAGGAAAGCAAGGAAAGAAATAAAGCAAAAAATGCAAGCCCCCTCCCAACAAAACAACTAGAACATGAGGTTTCTTCCCCGCCCCCCGTTGATGCCTTCTCTGTAGCCACAGACAACAAAAATAATCCAAGAAAGAAAGAAAAAAGGGGAGAATCCCTAAGAAACCAAGGGGAAAATTTAAAAAAATAATTCCAAGCAGGTACACTGGCACCATAGGCAGGCTGCCTAGCAGCATCAGCAGCAAACATAAGCCAAAGAAATTGGGGGGATCCAGAAAAAAGGCAGAAGAAATGGATCCACAAGGACATACAGATAGCACCATGAAGATGGAGGGCACCATGGGTCTCAGTAGCACACAGATTCAACCCACAAGGAAGCACCGAGGTAAAAAACCAAAAACATATTCCTAACTAGGTGCCATTCAATCTAGGCCCTTCTACAACTCAGAATTTCCTCTCCCCTTCTTAGATGTTCTGACTGGCTGCTAACAGCAGCCCTCACAACACTGTTTGATTAAATATGTCCTGGTTCATTTGATAGACAAAAGGTGAAGGAAAGAGCAAATGAACAAAGGAAACGTGAAAGAACCTGAAGCTTTCACATCCCTCTTCTTCACTAAAACAAAACATCCAGGTTTAAGAGTCTCTCTATTGGGAATCAGCAACAGAATCTAAAAAAGGAAATGTTCCTTTTTCTTGTTTTTCCCCATCCATGCTAATCCCAAAGTCCCACCCCTAATGCCAAATTGTGGTTTGTAATTATACGTGGTTTAGAACACAACTACAATCACAGCTTCCAACTGCAGAGGCCTTTCATGGTTCACAGATGCTTTACTCTTTTCATTTTCCATCTGCTCAGTACTCCAGTTTATATCACTCCAGATATCATCCCAACCACAGTCGGCAAAGATTGTGGACCAGTGTCCACTAGTGTACTTCTACTGGTGGAAATTAGTTTGGACAATGGAACTAGGAAGAATGAACATCTTTCTTCTTGAAGTTGCCCACCCTACAATGGGAAACCTTACAATGGATTTTCAACACTTAGAAGAGTGTGATGAGGAGGGATCAGAGATCCCAAGGTCATCACATTTGATTCAGCCATGATTTGCAAGCCCTTTTCAACAAATAATTCCTGCTGTTGCAGGACGCTTGAACATGAAGTACGACCTGTTCCTGTGCATCACTTCTGAACCGATGGTGGAATTTTAGGATAATTTTTCCCCATGAAAAGCAGTTTTCAAGAGGAGTAGCCACCTTAGTCTTTTGCAAAGTATGCTGCAATCTACTGAAGCTTATTCTAAAGAAACATTATCAAAGTATCACAAAACTCTTGTGGTGCATAAAAATAAAATAATAAATAATTCTATATTTTATAAGGTATTTTATAAACATTCTATCAAAAACTTAATATGTATGTAGGAGGTGGGGCTTTGTCACAGTGAGATCGGTCAGGTTTCAGGAATCTCCAGAAACTGACCAAGACCACTCAGTTTCAACCCCTCCAAACTTGGGGGGGGGGAAGGACTTTTACTAGGAGAAGTGAAATTCTGAAGGAACAGAATCTGACTGAGAAGGGAGGTGGCCCGGGAGATTCCTGGACTGGCCTCTCTTTGAAGTCGCAATCTGGAAGCAGAACTGAGTGGGCGCCATCTTTGGCACAGAGCTGTGAATGCCCCAAGACAGAGAATGGAAAAGTACAGAAGGATTTTGGAAAAATAATCTTGACCAAACTTGAAGTAAGTGGCTTGTTTTACATATGGAACTGTTAATACAATGAAGAGACTGGATGTAATCTATCAGAGAAAGTGACTAGACCTATATCTGGCCAGACCATCGAACACTCCCCCACCCCATCTGAGGCTTGGCTGAGAGAAACAGAAAGAAAGGAGGAGGAAATCAACTTTGCTTCTATTGCGGCAATAAAACTTGCTCTCACATGACAATATAACTATAAGGTATTAATAGATTTAAATCTGTGAAGCAGCCAGAAACAGTCTTGGGAGAAGCCCTTCCTCCTGTCAACCTTCTGCCCAAAGCTACTATTGTGAATAACTATTGTGGTCGCTACCTGCTGGAAAGAAATCCAGATAATACCTCCAGTTATGGGACAACAAGACATCCTCAAGAATATTCAAAACATTATACTTAATGGACTGCTCCAGATGAAAACAGAGATGGATCAGCTATTTGAACCAATTAAAGACGTAGGGACACAAATGGAATTTACAGTGAAGACAAAGAAGTGAAACTATGACAGAGAATCAATATTTTAAAACCACAGACAGAGAAACACAATTTTATTCTTAAACCCCAGAAGGTTCTAGAAGAAAAAGGTGAAGATACAATGCAGTGGAGAGCCGATTTGTTAATCCCCTTATGGAGATGTCAACAGTGGAAGTGCAGCAAATGGCGAAGTTTATTAGGAACTTCAATATGAAAGGCAGAAGAATCGAGATGATGGGACACATGCACTGGCAGATGAAACAAAGGAGAAAATACCTGGAGTGCATGAAGCTCTTGAGAATGGATGCATGGTCCATAAGATGGAAAATGACAGATGACATGATAAGAGAGGCACAAAATATGGGTTAGAATATGGAGATAGAGCAGTGGAGAGAAACGTTGTTAAATCTAAGAAGGTATTTTGTGGTGAAAGAATATATGATAAAATAAACACAAAATAATGGTTATAACAGTAATTTAGAGCACTGGTTCTTAACCTTGGGTTACTCAGGAGTTTTAGACTGCAACTCCCAGAAGCCTTCACCACCAGCTGTCCTGACTGGGGTTTCTGGGAGTTGCAGTTCAAAAGCATCCGAGTAACAAAGGTTAAGAACCACTGATTTAGAGCAATAGAGCATTTTAGAACAATAGATACAGTATAAGATTGCAGAGTAATATTAAACCTATAAAACCAGTAAATTTAAAGATAAAAAGAAAGAGAAAGTCCATGAAAATAGAAGATCAGTAATGATAAATATTATGGAAAATTGTTATAATGTTTTTTTTCCATCTTTAATACAATTGTAGATCAAAGGGGCGCAAGTGTGCAAATTTTTTAATTTGGGGGTTAGAAAAGGGGGGTCGTCTTGTAAACAGAAAAATACAGTAAGTATGAGTTTTATTGGCCCTGGATTATGATTACTGATCATTATTTAAGCGCAATATATATATAAGTACAAATATTTGTTACAGTAACACAACATACCTTAAATGACAGTTCCATGTTTTCACCTCCCCAAACATCAAGGCCAGGATCATATGTCCCAAGTTCAAAAAAGTACTTCTTATCAATTGAAAATAAGCCACCAGCCATCACAGGACATCTAGCAAGTGAACCAGAAATAAGGTATGCACATTGTACATTGGGGTAAATATAGTCTGCTGCTATTCTAGAAAGTGTAGCAACAACATTCTGTGTTCTTGAATCAGTGTTCCTTTACAGCACTGGTTCTTAACCTTGGGTTACTCAGGAGTTTTGGACTGCAACTCCCAGAAGCCTTCACCACCAGCTGTCCTGACTGGGGTTTCTGGGAGTTGCAGTTCAAAAGCATCCGAGTAACAAAGGTTAAGAACCACTGCTTTACAGGATGGATAGCGAACGAGTGGCTGTCCAGATGTTGTTGGACTGCATTTGCCACTATCTGTGCTAGCTCGGTGTGGCGTTCACCCTCATGCCCCTTTGCTTGACCATCAAGACTTTGAGCACACAAACAATCCTCTCTTTTACACTGCTGCCACCAGGTGATCACTAAATCACCATTACTTCAGGAAGATTCAGGTCCACACTTCAAGGTCTTTTAAATAGAACTTTTGTTTATTGATTACAGAGACTGAAATTGATTCATGCATATCTTCTGTAGGTAAAAGTATTATTAACAACAACCTTCTAATTGGTAGTATACTCCTAATTCTAATCACACGTCAGAATTCCCCAAACTCCACACTCTATCCCCTTCTCTCACACTCCACTCTTACTGATTCTGTTAGACTGACTATTGCTCTCTGACTTCGCCTCTTACAGCATCTCTCTCAGCTCTGCCTCTCAGCAACATTAATATGCAGGAACCATTACATAACATAACATGAACCTTTGACCTAATAAATGGGGAACGCTACACTCAACATAACATGAACCATTGACCTAATAAATGGGGAATGCTACACTCAGGATGGTGGGAACTGCAATCCAAAAACTTCTGGAGGGCACATGTTTCCAATCCCTGCTTTACCGATAGTCAAAAAGGATCAGGACTTGCTACACACATCATCAGAACTTAGCAGGAGCCTTTACTGTTGTTATAGGCCATAACAGTTGGGCTTGTTACATGAAGAAATTCTCAATTATGCTGTAAATGCCCATTCAAAACTACTCAAAATATACAGGGTGGCTACAGTTTCACTTTGCCAGATCTAGGGACAGATTTCTTTTATTAATCTTTAAAATTTATACCTTGAAATCTGCTTCCTATTCCTGCATACTTAAAACACACACACACACATTTTGTTTTAGTGTTCTCGTAGCTGTCTTCTTTGGTTACTACATTCTCTCTAGAACTAGCTCAGAGTTGTGCTGGACCCAGTGTTCCATTTGCTGTGCTCTGTCCTGGTCAGTGCTGGACGCAGTGTTCCATTTGCTGTGCTCTGTCCTGGATGATCACGCCTGTAGCAGACGTCAAAGGAGCAGATTTCTTCTGTATTAGACCTAAAGCCTGCTTGATACTGTCATATAGTCCCTTGATGTTACCTGTGTCCGCTGCTGTCTGTATCTGAGAGCAGAGCTGAATAATGGTTAGAACATCTTCTGGCAGTCTGTTGGGACGCAGTGTTCCATTTGCTGTGCTCTGTCCTGGATGATCACGCCTGTAGCAGACGTCAAAGGAGCAGATTTCTTCTGTATTAGACCTAAAGCCTGCTTGATACTGTCATATAGTCCCTTGATGTTACCTGTGTCCGCTGCTGTCTGTATCTGAGAGCAGAGCTGAATAATGGTTAGAACATCTTCTGGCAGTCTGTTGGACTTTGCTATAAGCAACTCGAATGTAGTAACTGAAGAGGCATTAAATAACATTGAGTGCCTGCCTATCTTGGAAGAGTTGGACAATGAACCAACTTTAGCAGAAATAAAAGCGGCCTTGGATTCCCTTGCCTCCGGCAAGGCACCTGGGAAGGATAACATCCCTGTTGAAGCGCTGAAGTGTTGTAAAGAGATCATCACCACGGAGCTGTATGAAATCTTCTGTCTTTGCTGAAGGTGGAGTACCACAGGATATGAAGGATGCAAACATCGTCACATTGTACAAGATCAAAGGTGACAGGGACAACTGCAATAACTACCGTGGCATCTCTCTTCTCAACATTGTAGGGAAGCTGCTTGCCTTGTTGTGCTGAAGAGGCGCCAGGTGCTTGCAGACAGAGTCTATCCAGAATCAGTCTATCCAGAATCAAAGTGTGAATATCGAGCTAACAGATGCACCACTAACATGGTATTCTCCCTCGGACAGATGCAGGAGAAATGTAGGGAATAACAACAGCCACTCTTTGTGGCCCTCATAGATCTTACAGAGGCCTTTGATCTGGTTAGCAGGTACGGCCTTTTTAAAAATACTTCCCAAGATTGGATGTCCACCTCAACTCCTTAACATCATCAGGTCCTTTCATGAGGAAATGCCAGACCTCCAACAACTTATGAATCGTTTTAGCAAGGCTGGCCAAGATTTCGGATTAATGATCCGCCTGAAGAAAACACAAGTCATGGGCCAGGGTGTGGATTTGCCTCCCTCTATTACCATATCTACAAAAGAATTGGAGGTTGTTCATGATTTTGTGTACCTTGGCTCAATGATCTCTGACATTCTCTCTCTAGATATTGAGCTGGATAAACGCATTGGCAAAGCAGCTACCATGTTCTCTAGACTCACAAAGACAGTATGGCTCAATAAGAATTTGGTGGCATATACCAAGATCCAGGTCTATAGAGCCTGTGTCCTGAACACAGTCCTGTATTGCAGTTAGTCCTGCAATACAGGAGTTTGTGCAAGGCAGGAGAGGAAGCTGAACATGCTCCATATGTGTTGTCTCTGACACATTTTTGGTATCACCTGGCAGAACAAAGTTCCAAATAGAGTAGTCCTAGTACGAGCTGGAAATTTTAGCATGTATACATTACTGAAACAGTGACGTCTACATTGGCTTGGGAATGTCGTGAGAATGGTTGATAGTTGGATTCCAAAAGATCTCCTGTATGGAGAATTAGTGCAGGGAAAGTGCCCCAGAAGGAGACCACAGCTGCGATACAAGGATATCTGCAAGCGGATCCGAAGGCCTTAGGAATGGACCTCAACAGATGGGAAACTTAGACATCTGGGCGCTTAGCTTGGAGGCAGGTGGTACAGCGTGGCCTCTCCCAGTTTGGAGAAACCACTGTTCAGCAGGCCAAGGCAAAGAAGCAGTCCCGAAACCAGCAAAATCAGGGAACTGGACAGGGGACAGTTGTATTTGTCTTCAGTGTGGAAGGGATTTCACTCTTGAATTGGCCTTCTTTCAGCCACACTAGACACTGTTCCAAGACCTCTATTCAGAGCATGTTACCATAGTCTCTCGAGACTGAAGGATGCCTACACCTCATAACTGTGCTTCTGTTTGCACCCAAGAAAGAATGAACTTCCACCCTAAAGAAATATTAGATACGACTTGTAATTGATGCCTTTCTCCCATTGTGAGGATTTAATCCAGAAGGAACAACTGTTGTCAATAACCTCTTAACTTCATATACTTACTTGATTGTATCCGTTTCCTTAATCTTGTTTTTCACAATCACATCTGGAGGAATTGGCTTCCATCCAAAATTCATTGGCCAGGTAAAAATGCCACGCTGAAAGCTGTCCACAGTCATGTAGCTGAAGGAAAGAGGTCAGAGGCAGAAGCAGAGACCACATCAGAGAAGATAAACTATAAACTGAACAACATACTTTTGAGGTGATGGTAGGGAAGGCTAACTGATACCATGAAAACACATGCCCTGAAAAACTGAAATTATGAATTCTCTGAAATTACGAAGTGGTCTACCATGTTTTACTATTTCATATCATTTTAACATAAACTTTCACAACCAGAAGAATCATAAGAGAAAGGATTACACCAAATTGTATTATTTTTTAGTAGGGTACATTCACATGAAAGGCATGTCCACCACCCTGTCCTCAATGTCCTTTGTCCGTTCAGTGCCTGATCTTCCCATGCTGACAAGGAAAGGTAGACAATGAGTTCTATGTGTGATTGATTGTATGTAAAAAGTTCTGTGCAATTAGAAACTCTGTTTTATTATAGGTGGCTCATCATTGGACAGGGGCACCTCCTGCAATGTTAGTGTTCCTCCTCCCCATGGGTTCTCCCAGCTGGTGTATTAGGCTTCCAAATTGTCTGAAGGCTTCTACTCAACTTCAGGTAAATGCTCACAGAGTCTTCCTTCAGACCTCTCTCTCAACACAGGTAAAGGGAGGACCAAGTGGCCCTTCTTGTGTCCCAGACCTCCGACTAGGACACAAGGTCTACAGAAAACCCATCCACACAGACCGGTACCTACATACAAATTCCAACCACCACCCACAGCAAAAAAGAGGCGTAATCAAAAACACTGGTAGACCGTTCAAATCGGAACTGTGAAGCTCAGTTTCTCAGCACTGAACTCAACCATCTGAATTGGGCCCTACAGGCAAATGGCTAATCCAAAAATGAAATCACAAGAGCCATCAAACCAAGAAAACAATACCAAACTGAAGAGAGAAAAAAACAGCCACCCACAAATAAAGTATTTCTGCCATACATCAAAGGGGTCACGGACCGCATGGGGAAGCTTTTGAAAAAACACAACCTACAAACAGTATTCAAGCCCACCATAAAAATACAACAGATGTTACGGTCAACAAAGGACAGAAGTGACCCCCTCACCACTGCAGGAGTATACCGGATACCTTGCAGTTGTGGCCAGGTATACATTGGAACCACAAAACGTAGCATCCACACCAGAATCAAAGAACATGAGAGACACTGCAGACTAAAACAACCAGAAAAATCTGCAGTAGCTGAACATGCCCTAAAACAAGCTGGACACGAAATTCTATTTCAAAATACTGGACAACACCAGCAATCATTATGTCAGACTGCAC